TTAGTTTTCTGCATAATAACTGCCTCTCTTAGCCGTACAAAAGGGTCAGCATTATAACATTATACTTAGTCGGGTCATAAATTCTGTCAAAACCTTATTATTTATTTTTTTTGTATACTGGCTAGATTAACTTCACCAATTTTAAAAATATAACGTTTGCGCTTGCCGAAAATAAAAAAGACGTTAATTTTCATTCATTTTCAAATATGGAGTGGTCGAAGAAAGAAGATGAGTAGCGGTTATCGCGTTGCACCGCTGTGGTTACTCGCCAAAACAGATTTTCAATATTCTACAATAATTGAAAATAACCCTACGATTTGTTTATCGCAGTATAAAACGATTCACTGAAGACTCAAGCTTCGAAGATCGTAAGAGGACCGGCCGACCTCGTTCAGTTAGGACACCCGCGATCATCAAAGCAGTGAAGGCGCGAATCCAACGAAATCCTGTTCGTAAAGAAAAATTATTAGCTCTTCAGATGAGCCTAAGCAGAACCACGGTCAAAAGAGTGATATATGAAGACCTAGGACTACGAGCTTATCGTAAGAAGACCGGACATTTTTTGAATTTGGAATTTCATCAGAATTTGGAATCTCTCCGAGCATCTTTGGCTAAAGCAGCGGCAGAAATAGATATGAGTGTGGTGCGTGCTCTGATTGATGATTGGCTACGTCGATTAAGGGCATGTGTTCAGAAAAGGGGAGGGCATTTTGAATAATGTAAATAAAATTGTATTCTAAATTAAATTACTTTTCATTTCATATATAATTTCTATGTATTTATCAAAAAGTGTATTATTAATTTTATCAAAAGTTTTTGACAGAATTTATGACCTAAGTATTTAATAAAAAATATACATAAAAATGTTTACCGTGTAGTGGTGGTGTAAGAATATCTACTACCCCATATGATCCCGTGTGTGTCGTAAGAGGCGATAGAGGAAAACAAATCGGGAGATAACCCAAGCGTGGCGCAACTATAGAAAATATTCCTAGTATGAGGCAATCGGGGAGGCCTATGTTCAGCAGTGAACTTTAATAGGCTGTAGTGATAACGGATTCGATTCGGATTCGGATATCGATTCGTTCCTTGCGTGTCATAAGAGGCAACTCGTTTACGCCAAGCTTTAAAGGCAGCGTCAAAGATGTGAAACGACTGGTAGTGTGATCGTCAACCCGCCTGCCGCCTAAAGGACTTTCACGGGCTCTTGAAGAAGTATTAGATTAAATGAAACTAATTTTTACGGTCTTCGCGTAAATATAAGAAATCATTAAGTATTAGATTTCTATTTATTTGTAGCATAAAAATATTTACCATAAATCGATTTTCAATATTATATTCTTAAAAAGAAACTTTAAATAAAAATATTCCGGCATATAACTCTCCGATCTCAATATATTTTTTTATGTAGGTACGTAAACATGTTATTACTTGCGATATTACCCATGGCAAAATTAGATTCGTCGGTAATAAAACGTAAGGATATTGACGTCATTATTATAGATGGTTTGCGTTTTGTCGATAACACGTTAGTAAATACAGTAACGAATAATAAAATGTATGAAAAAGTTACTGAACTTATTTATCGTCAATATTATGTTTTATAATCCAGGATATTTTGTAAGATAAAGACATTTCTATTTTGACGTTGTTGTAAATTTTTTGATAAGTTCCATCTCATTACGAAACGTGGTTAATTAATAGTCTCTGGTTTAAATAAATCTTTCTAACTAGTTCGTTCGTTAACTTTAGTTCGTTTTTTACGTGATAGAGCCATGTTACTACTATATTACTGGTATATTTATAGCACAAATGGGTCGGCTTGACCGGGGAAGGATGAAGATCTCGCAGAATACCAGCAGCTTAACGCTATTGTGTTTCGTAGGGTGAGTGTAGAGAACCGGAAACCCTTTTTACTGGAAACGAGGCAATCCATCTTAGTCCTCACAGGTGACAACGCATCTGCATTTTGATTCGTAATCGAGGATAGATGTAGATGTCTATGGGTCACAGCAATCACTTACCGTCAGGTGGACTGTGTGCTCGTTTGTCAATTTTATTCTATTAAAAAAAACAGTCTGTGGAAAATTTGACTTGCGCTGCTAATTCCATAGTTTACATTTTAGTTTGTATATTTTCGCGGGACTTTTTTATTGAAACAGACTATAGTTTTAACTTGACAGTAATTAAAAATCTTATTTGTGTAATAAGACGGTATTCTTTCAAAAGAGATTTAACTCGCAATGAATATGTGATTTATGTTTAATCTGTAGATGTTAATATTCCAGTTGAGATAAAAAGCAACATGGTAAAAAATGTTAAATGAAACTTGATAAACACGAGACACCCAAAGCATAATCTTGAACCTAAACTGCCTACCCTTCCTACGTGCTCTTAATCAACTCCCATCTTGTGGAAGTAGCTTATATTCGGCAGTGAACTTGATAATGGGCTGTAATGATGACCATAGTGGAAGGAAAGATGCCTGCAGTAGAAGTTGCAAAGGATATTACTATATAAACAACAAAACAAGTTACACTATAAGTAGTAAAATATAAAATTCAAACGTATATTGGGTCCTTGCTCAACGTGTGATAATACTATCCATCTATATATGACTTTTTAGGAGATGGCATTAAATTAAGAAATTCAGCTATCACAAATCATACAAACAATAAAATTTTTATCTTAATCACTGTAAAAACCATAACTAACGAGGAAATAATAAATTTAAAATTGGGACGCACGTGTCAAAACACAAGCTTAAAGGTTTCGCGAAACAAAATATGATTGTAGCGCGAGTGACATTACGCAGTGACGAGAGTGGTTTTACGGCTTAGGTACTTACTTCATGAATGCGTATGAGTAATCAATTATTCAGGCGGACCCGGCGGGGGAATAAATTAGGAAAGCTTAGTAACGTCACGCAATAATGCTAACGATTTGTGATTTAATTCTTCATTATATTATCATTACTAATTTGAATTTTACAATTATTTAGGGCCAAAGCACACATGATACTTTGAGCATCAGCGATTAGCGATACTGCAGCTGCATCGATGCTTCATCGCCTTTTGACGACTTTACTGCGTAAACCATCAAGGTTTACAGAAATCGCGCGTTTTAGCGATTGCTTCGATGTTGGCTATTTTGCGGCTGCTTTTCGTTTTGACGATAATTCAGTTTCTCTCCATCTCCTCATAAAACATATGATATAGGGTAGTACACACGGCACACTTATTTATAATATCCCTAAAACACAAACGTATACACAAATATAAATGAAATGGAGGTACCATTTCATTTATATTTACGGTAATGCATGATTATGTATAAAAACATAAAAGTTACGACATTAAAATGAATGGAGATACTAAGAGGCTACGCGGTGTATTACCATTCCCACAGACCCCTGGGGAGAGTTAAACATAAACCATTGCTCATCGTTCTAACGATTCAAATAATTAACGTCACATAAGCATTTTTAGGCAAACCACACACCTGAGCGTTAAGGTTATAAAGATTAACTTGTTTGACTAACGAGGTTTTAATTTTATTTCTTAACTACAATCAACCTTACTTGAAGGTTAATTTAATATTTGCTAAGATACCAGTTTTACCTAATAATAATGCATAAAACAACGTGTTTACTTTACTTGTTTTTTTTTTTATATATAAATCTAGCGGTATAAGAAATGGAATAAGAAAATCTTAAAGGCAATTTCCGCTACGTTGTACCGAAAACTTTTTAACAAAGAAATCGGATAATAACGAACTCTTATTAGTTGTTTATTACATGAGCGCCCTTTTCTCCTGTTTCCATTTCGGTAAAAACTGGCGCTTAACAAAGTAATTATACTGTTTGAATATTTTATAAAGTAGTAAGTACATTTTATTCATTCTTTTGGCTTTTGCGCTACATAACGCATCTAAGCAAATTATTCGATAGAAAAAAATCCTCAAAGTAGGATTTTTATATACTAGCGACCCGGCCCGGCTTCGCCCGAGTTAATATCTTATGTTATAATAAATGGGAGAGCGTTGCGGCGAAATTTTACCCGACTTGATTCACAAATACGTTAATGCTTTAGTTTCTATTAAAACTAGGGTTTTTTTTTTATTACAATCGAAGCATCCTAGAGCGATTGCAGATCACAGCAGTGAAAACCACATGTAAATTCGTTCAGTGGTTCCCAAGATTAGCGCGATCACACACAAGTACAGACATTCGCCAGGGACTTCTTTTTATACTTTGTATAGATATATATCTACAGTATACTATCTATGTGTTGCGATTAAGGCAAAATTCTCCCTTCTACGGTAGAGACATATCCAGCAGTGTGCTGATATAGAAAAGAAGGAAAGTTACATTAATACTTATTAATAACTGGCTCGATGAAACGATGGCCTATGCAAGGCGGCTGGCAGCAACTGGAAGCCTTCGGAGGGCCCTATATTAATGTGCTGCCGCAGGCTGCCAATGATTGTCAAATAACATAAAAAGGAACGCATAAGAAACATATTGAATAAAAATTATTTACTTGTTTCCTGTACATCACCCTACTTAAAGTAGGGTTTATTACATATTACACTTGTTTCTATTTGTTTTTCATATTTTTCTTAGTTACATAAACATAAATATTATGTAAATCCATAAGTTGTAACACAATAACCGCCTACATAAGTAGGATTAGCCTATTCTTAAGTGGACGGAAAGGAATTAACTACTGTTATATTCCAAGCAGACAAAAATACCCAGACCAATGATATCGCCAAAGATGCGAGTCGTCTGCTTCTGAGATTGCCAATCTGTCTGCTAAGCATAGCTGTTAATGATGAGCCTCTCTGTAAATGCAAGGATTTGCAATGAGAGAGGCTCATCAGCTATGGTCTTATGATGAAGGTATTTTGAGCAGCTTTATTCTACTCACTTATATGCTGTTGCACACTTTAAAACATGTTTTTGCTTAATCATAATCAAATATTTTTCTTATTTTCAGGGAACAAAACTATGGATCATAATGGAATACCTTGGCGGCGGATCCGCGTTGGACCTGATGAAAGCGGGCAGCTTCGAGGAGATGCACATTGCGGTAATCCTGCGCGAAGTACTGCGCGGTCTCGACTATCTACACTCCGAGAGGAAGCTGCACAGGGACATCAAAGCTGCTAACGTCCTGCTTAGTGAAATGGGCGATGTCAAATTGGCTGATTTTGGTAAGTATAGAGATGAATAAATGTGGATGGCAATCTTCAGATTACTTTTAAAGACAGCCAATGTGATCAAATGGAATTTTTTCAGATGGGAAATTAACAATGTATATGTTATATGTAAACTGTGTCTATCATTTTATTTCTATTTTCAACTGTTATCAGGAAGATGCTGCTGCCCACAGCATGTTTAACAATGATCTAAAAAATTAATACGTGACACAATACATTCGCAAATATTTTTCAAAATAAGCAATTAATGAAATAACGATGATTCACACGTAACGGTAATAAAGTTGTGCGAATTCCATTAAATGTTTATTATTTTTGTGAGTCATACGTGGTAGAGCCATGCTGGAGTCATATTAGTAGTATAGTTGTAGCGCGAATGGGTCGGCTCGACCGGGGAAGGACCACGCTCTCACAGAATACTAGCGTAAAATAGCAGCTTAACACTGCTGTGTTTTGTATGGTGAGTGTACAGGACCGGAGACCATTTATACAGGAAAAGAGGCATTCCATCTTAGTCCTCACGGGTGACAAAGCATCTGCATTTTGATTCTTATCACAGTACCCACTTACCATCAGGTGGACTGTCTGCTTGTTTGTCACCCTATCCAATAAAAAAAAACGGTATGTTAAATATTTTTAAGATGTTAGATGTTAGGAAAGTGAATTTGCTAATAAAATGTTCATGCAGATAATATAAAGTCGTATTTTACTTAGTTTAAAGAGAGAATAATCTTGCCTTTTATGGTTTTATTAATTTAACTGGTTTTGCGGTGACTTAGTCTGCAGTAGAATTTAATAAATTTTACGACTAAAACTAAGTTTCACCAATGTTGAACACGTTGGCGTACCGCCAAGAGCCAACGATGTTTGAATTCGCCTGTGAGCGTTCGGTGTAACGGAGACAACATTAAATGTTGCTTTAGAGGAGTTGTAAAATGTTAGCATTGATTCTCCTTGCAAAGTTATTTTATTATTTAGCGTTAAAAGGATAGACCGAGCGCACGAGATACGCACGCGCACGGCCGCACAGTCGAGCGGGACTGCACATTACGGGAAGGAAATAGGAAACTGTATGCCAAATTGCATTTTGGGACGTATTTTACAAACACTCTTCCTTGCAAGAATTTTATCCCTTCAAATATTTTAACGTGTCACTTACGACAAATATTAAGTTTTATGATTTTTTTTAAAGACTAAAAATATATAATACTATATATAATAGGCTGCACTTAAAGTATCGGGAATGGAATATTTCCACTGTTCCTGTCATATTAAAATCTTTTTAATTGAAAAGACCTTGGTTTTAAAAATCGAATACCATTTATTTATTTAAAAAAAGATTCTCGGTCTTGTTACAAGGTTTTGTCAAACTTGTTTAGTTGTCGAGAAAATGGAATTGACTCGAGAAAATTCAAGAGCGATGATTTATTATGACTTTCGAAGTGGTTTAACACAAAAACAGTGTGTTGACCGGATGATTTCTGCATTTGGTGATGAAGCCCCATCCAAAACCACAATTTATCGCTGGTTTGCTGAATTTCAAGGTGGACGTGTCAAGCTCAGTGATGATCCCCGTCAAGGTCGTCCAAAAACTGCAGTCACCCAAGAAAACGTTAATGCTGTGCGTAAGCTGATTGAGGAAGATCGACATGTGACATACCGCGAAATTCAGGCAACTTTAGACATTGGCATGAGTCAAATACAAATAATCTTGCATGAACAATTAGGTGTAAAAAAGTTGTTTTCCCGATGGATACCGCATTCGCTCTGTGAAGAGCAAAAAGCGGCTCGCGTTACTTGGTGCGTCAGAACTCTCGAAAGATTCCACGCAGGATCCTCAAATGCTGTATACAACATCGTATCAGGTGACGAATCCTGGATATACGCGTACGAACCCGAAACAAAAAACCAGTCAGGAGTTTGGGTGTTCAAAAATGAGTTAAAGCCAACAAAAATTGTTCATTCACGGAGTGTTGCAAAAAAAATGGTGGCCACGTTTGTCTCCAAAACCGGCCATGTTACGACTATTCCTCTTGAGGGACAAAGGACGGTTAATGCAGAATGGTATGCTAGCATTTGTTTGCCACAGGTCGTTTCTGAACTCCGTAAAGAGAACTGCAACCGCCGCATCATCCTCCATCACGACAATGCGAATTCTCACACCGCACACAGAACAAAAGAGTTTTTAGAGCAAGAAAACATAGAATTATTAGACCATCCACCGTACAGCCCCGACCTAAGCCCTAATAATTTCTATACTTTCCCTAAAATAAAGAATAAATTGCGTGGACAGAGATTTTCATCACCTGAAGAAGCTGTGGACGCCTACAAAACGGCCATTTTGGAGACCCCAACTTCCGAATGGAATGGTTGCTTCAATGTTTGATTCCATCGTATGGAAAAATGTGTCAAATTTCGCGGAGAATACTTCGAAAAGCAATAAATACATTTTTAAATTGTAATGTTGTGTCACTTCCTTGATTCCCGAAATTTTCAGTGCCGTCCTCGTAATGGCATTAACATCACATTCTGCGATGATTAACAAATTCGTTAAAAAGACAGTATTTTGAATTTAAATTTTTATTACGTTCTTGATTATTTAGAGAAATTGTTTTAATACAATTTGAATTCAATGAGCGTAATCAAAGCAAAAGAAACAGATAACACATTAAACATGATGGCGATAATAATGATAATATCCTCTAGACCCAATTTCGGTCAAGGCGCCCAGTCTCAACGGAGGCTAGCCATCCGCTAAGACAGGATTATAGTACACGAGTGTGTGCGCAAACACATATGCACTCTCTATTCCCTCACTCTCATAAAATCATATTTAGTGCGATGGAACGGTAATCACTAATCACTTATGACTAGACCCTCGAGGCAATCACGTCGACACTATATTGGCGCAGATTAACGTACTCGTAGTTCTTTCTTTTACCTGAATCAAAAATAATGCTTTTTGCTAGAGACATTCAAAAACACATTCAAACTCAGCATCAAGTTTTTGTACATATTATTATTTTTGATTTGTGCTTATTTTTATATGATTAAAGTAATAAAGGATCTAACAATAAGTCTGATGGTAAGTAGCTACAGCAGACCGAGGTTACTGTAACCAACTTCAATAAATAATTGTTTTACAAGTGTAAATTAAAAATGCACTGCTGATTTCAAAATAAAGACCTAACTACAGCTCTTGCCGCGTCATATTCCTCACTACTTAGCTTCGCAATACCTATTCCATTTTGATATTTGATCATTTTTCCGTGCACATTATTAACGGTATTGCAAAAAAAAACACACACACACACACACACACACACACACATAAACACGGTTTATTTATATCCGGAATTAACTAACAATGGGAATATTTTTTATTCCAGGCGTTGCGGGGCAGCTTACAAATACAACAAGCAAACGCAACACTTTCGTGGGTACCCCATTTTGGATGGCGCCAGAGGTTATAAAGCAGTCCTGCTACGACAGCAAGGCGGATATCTGGTCACTGGGCATTACTGCAATAGAACTCGCTAAGGGTGAACCCCCCAATTCAGAGTTACATCCGATGAGAGTACTCTTCCTCATACCCAAGAACAACCCACCGCAACTTACAGGAAGCTACTCTAAGCCTTTCAAAGAGTTTGTAGAGGCGTGTCTGAATAAGGACCCGGAGAACGTAAGTAATATTCCTGGCATTCTGAATTGGCATGCATTTTGTAGAAAATTATAAACATAATTATAGGCCCATGTCTAACAGTGGACTTTCATAAGCTGTCGAAGAAGAATAAACTAATACATTAGTAGCCCTTTCAGAATTGTCTAAATGTGTTCGTTACGATTTTTTGAAAAAAAAAAACTAACCATAAATGCGGTGCCTACCTGAACAAACTGTTTTTAATTGTAATGTAATGTATTCAAGTGTAAAGTCTGGAGGATTACATTTAAAAACATAGTTTACCATTAAAGGTTCAAAATCGTCCACTTTAGAAAAGGTGTTTAGTGCTCTCCACTACACAAACATTCCGTGAGAGTTCGGGATGGAGGGTCTTAGTTCGGGTCAACAAACCTGTCACAAGCTTTGTACAGGCTCAATTCAGGACGGCGACAACACAAACAATTGTTGTCCCAGACGCTCTTTACGAGGAGTTAATTTATTTTTCAAACCTGTTTGTTTATTTTTATCAAGTTTGCCATCGCGAAAGGTATCGGCTTCCAATATTGTTAACGTTTGCATGTGTGAATCAGTAGATATTTAACGGCTGCTATTGCGTACCATCCATCCATCCATCCATTATCCATCCATCACTGTCTTTAAGTCTCCTGCTGAACATAATCCATAAGGGGGATATTTTTGGCAACCGCTGTTATTATATATATATATATATATATATATATATGTTTGTATGTATGTATATATATATATATATATATATATATATATATATATGTATATATAAATGTAGTAGGTTAATTATTCAAAAAATAAAATAGCGACGCGCGTGGCATATTGCGTACTTTTTCTATAATATATATGATTTACGAGACTCATCAATGCTCTTAGTCATAAAATGTATGCGATAGCAATAGCTCTACATATATCAAACTGAGAGTTTGCCCGCTAATTTAAAAACTGCGTAAAATCATGCTTAGAAATTAATTTGGTCAATGATGGTTTCTTGATCAGTGTATGGCAACCCTCACTAGATGGAGTGCTTATCTGATGAGTTGATAATTACAGGTTATTAATTTCTTGCTTTGTCTGGATGAGGTATTTGTTTGATTAACTTGATACTTGAGGTTGAGGAGGAGGTAAAAATAAATGTGTTAGAAATAGTCTAGTATGTAAAGTTCAGTATTCGCAAAAACTTTATCTAAAATTAACTTTTAGTTATTACAGGCAGTATTATCTTTACAAAAATTTATAAAATGACTCCTATATTATTATAGAGACCGACGGCGAAGGAGTTACTAAAGTTCCAGTTCATCAGGAAAGCCAAAAAGAATTCGTATCTAATGGACCTGATAGATAGGTACAAAAAGTGGAAAGCTCAGCGGAGCGAGGAAAGTGAGACCGAGTCGGAGAATTCTGATTCGTGAGTATTATTTTATTAGTAGTGTAACCAATACTTATTTCAAAAAAATCATGCAACCTTTTGACAGCATTGCATGAAAAGAACTTACTTTTTATAGGATACTAAATTCTGTCTATAATCGGTAATATTTTATGTAAGCTTCTTTTTTTCGTCCCATCTTTCTCTCATTGGTGAACATAGATAATGAATGGTTCAGTGTATTTTACCCTAATTGATAAAATTTGTTGCAATTCCTGCACTTACATCCTGTAAATGGCATATTGGCCATTATACCTCATTATTCGACTGTATGGTTTTAAGTGTAAATTATTAATTATTAATAATTTACATTTGAAACCATAAAGTTCAACAATTTATAAAAAACTTATGGCATTAAAAATCTTACTACTAACCCAAATTGATTTATTGTTGTTATCTTTTCTGGAAATACTATTGAATAAGATATAAGACAAACCCATGCATTCTTATGTTATCTCATTGTCTTAACAAGATCACAGCACAATAAAAATTTCATACTTGTTAACAACTTATAATAACCTACACAATAAAAGTTATTTTATTTTTTGAAATTGTGTGAAATTGTCGTTTTTCATGAAATAAGTTTACGTAATTTTTTTTCTATATTTTTTATTTTTATTAATCAAAGTAATCACTCATGTAATCGATGCATCTTTGCCAACGCAGTGGCAGTTTATTGATCCCCTTCTTAAAGAAATCAGCTGGACGGGAGGTTACAAATTCTTCAAAGGCATTTTGTATAGCCTCTCGTGTACCTATTGAATTTTTTTCCCGCCAAAAAGTTATCCAAATTCTGCAAAAAGTAGAAGTCTGTAGGCGCAAGGTCTGGTGAGTACAGCGGACGACGGAGAGCTTACAACTCCAGCTCTTGTAACTTGAAGACAGTGTAGTGCAGTATGAGGTCGCGCGTTGTCGTTCAGGAGCAGCGGGTACGAGCGATTGACCAAAGCTGTTTGAAGACGTGGCGAGCTTCTCCATTATTGTGTTAATTCTTCACAGTACACATCTGCAGTAATGCTTATCCCGTTTCTTAAGAAGCTGTGATGAATCACACCGGCGCTAGGCCACCAAACAGTGACCTTCACTTTTCTAGGAGAAAGTTTTCGTTTAGGGTATTGTTTAGGTGCTGAACCAGGATCGAACCAACTTGCTGAGCGCTTGCGATTATCAAACAGAATCTATTCTTCGTCGGAGGTAATAATGCGGTTAAAAATTCCTTCGTTTGTGTGCTTTTTGAGCAGTGCAAGGCACGTCTCTTCGCTCTGGTGATCATGGAGTTTCATTTCTCAAGCTTTTTTACTTTGTCAATTTCACGCAAATGGACTAATATTGTTTCTGCTGCTTATTCAGCCGTAGATTAAGTATCATCTGCTTCCACGATCGCCTTTAATTCGTCATTGTCGATCAAAGTTTTCGGACGACCCGGGCTTCATTTTTCAGGTCGATATTTCCAGAACGGAAGCGGGCAAACCAATAACAGGTGGCGTTCGTTTGTGGTATTCGCCCCGTAAACGTCGTTGATGTTCCGTGCAGCTTGTGCCGCGTTGCTGCCACGACAGTACTCATATTCCATAATTACTCGAATTTTTACATACCTTAATCAATAAACAAATGACTAATTTTGAAAAACGAATTCCATGTTTTTAAAATAGATTTAATTTTAAAATTGAAATTCTTTGCCAACAAAAATTATTTTGATTTGAAATAGCCAGTACTGCAGTACGGCAATAATAAAGACCTATTATTTAGATATATTATGACATTGTGAAAATACGAGATAGGCTTTAATTGTAACATTATAATTTCACCAAATTTTTCGAAGCTCTGATACAGGCTTGTGTAAAACGATTTCGTAGTAATCCATGACAGTAAAAACGTGATATTTTATCGAGTATTTTGGGCTAGTACGATAAAGGTTAAAGGTATGTTTGTTAAAGTACCATGAATAATACTTGTATTAATTGTAATCCATGTTAGTCATAAACAGCGTCCGTAATGAGAGCTGTTTGCAAATGGATATTACAAAAAGATAGTGACATTTTTAAATTGTACAATATAATTGTACAGTTATACAATTGTAAGCTGTGGGTGGCAATTCTTTTGGAAGGACTATGTTCAGGTATTTGAGAGCTGAAATGATGATGATAATAATTGTAACTATAATGTTTTTTTGGAGAGACAAGGCGATTTTCAGGCATTGCTTAAGGATTTTATATTCACTTGAATGAAATTTCACTAATTGAAAAAGAAGAATAAAAATAAATTCATTCGTCCCAAATACATCTCATATTTTTTAATTTATTTATTTCAAGAGTCATAAAGTTCTTTAATAAGCATTTATTTTGACAGTCTGTTCTCCCTCAAATTTAGATTTTTGAAGCTCTTATAAACTACATCGATTATCAGGAAACAAGACCTCACCGGCAAGAAACTGGGGTCTATCCTCGACTACTGCTTTCTTTCTACGGATTTCTGATCTTATTTAACTTGTACGACCCTTGCTATCATACCGAACACCGATTATCTCGTTTACTCGTTTGACTTTGGATCGTTATTGCGGATTTTACGGTCTGGATATTATCAATTAGATATTGACTCAATGGATCACTGTTTGAATAGTGGCATAGCGACTGTAATACATTAGGCCCACAATCCTTCCAAAATAGCAATCGCTCTTCAAAAATCAGCTGCTTAGTTTAGGTTGTTGCCAACTTGTGGAATAACCTCACTTTTAATAAATCTCTAATAACTCTGCTCTCAGATTGCCAAAGTTCGCAGAATTTTCATTGATGTTTTGATAATATATAAGCTATTTGATTGAATTGACACAAAATTCATCTTTTTACAATCTGGTCCCAAGAATGTATGAAAGTTTATCAGGATCCTTTGATATCTTTTTGAGTATTGTGTCTGTGAATAATATAGCGGTAGCCAGAAGACTTGCAAGTGCAAATATTTCCACATAAAATTGTCCTCAATATATTGATCTATTTTATATGATGTTTTATTTAACAAAATATCCTTAACAAGGTTTTTTAAATTTCATATTCGTCTGCTGCACTATATTTAAAGATATTTTATTGTAAACTTATGGAATGCTTATTTATTTACTACTTTTTGGAATTCAAAAAAAATTATAAAAATAACGTGTTTATTTACGCAATTTAAAAGCAAAAGGAAAGGTAAAGATGTTGTTATCATCACTGTTTCCCGCCAAAATGTAAAATTATTGTTGTGTGACAATCGCTTTAAAATAACTTACAATGCTCGGCAGTGAGGAGGGCAGCCGGGGTGACAACGAGGCAGACGAGCCATGGATTATGACGGTCCGTGGCGGCTCCGGCGCGCGCTCTCTGCAGCCCGCCGCCGAGCGCCGCGACCTACGCGACCTGCGCGACCTGCGCGAGAGAGACAGAGACAACGTGCGAGACAGGGACACCGCGTGGGACAGAGAAAACGCGCGGGACCGAGACAACGTGCGAGACAGGGACAACGCGTGGGAGAGGGATAACGCACGGGACCGAGACAACGCGCGAGACAGGGATAACGCCTGGGAGAGGGATAACGCGAGGGACAGAGACAACGTGCGAGACAGGGATAACGCGTGGGACAGGGATAACGCGCGGGACCGAGACACCGCGTGGGACAGAGAAAATGAGCGAGAACACAGGCGCGACGATACTGGTTAGTCAAACGCACATTTTATGAGCCATTTGGATGAGTAATTTACAAAAATCAACTTGCACCAGTTCGAAACTCAATCATTGACTTGAATTTGCATCGATTTGGATGGTATGTAAGATTACGGTGTATAATGGGAACACATTGACTATATAAATCCAAACAAAGCTGACTTGTCAATATGTTGATTATAGTTACGTATGAGTGTTATGCGTGCACTCGCACACGTAACTGTGTTCGTGCGTGCGCTTGCATGCCTATGTGCTCCTGCACCATATTTCTTGATCCCTTGAAAATGATGATCAATGTCGCCCCTTCCATCACTAAAGTAATAATTAAGTGTAATTGTACAATAACAAAGTCGGAGTGAAGAAAGGTGCCGGTAGATTATGTGTAGGGCGCCTCCCACCATGGATACAGGTGGCTTAGGACGGTGCTTTGTAGCGTTCCTTGGCGAATACTATGTTCAGCTGTGGGCTTGTAATGATGGTGATTATAATGATGATAATACAATAATAAAAAAGCGTACAATCTATTGATAATAATTAAAAAAGGTAATTCTCAAACGTGATATAAATTTGATTTATTTTTTATAATATAATTGACACAATCTGAAGTAAGTTTTCTGATTAAAACATAATACAGCGATCCCGTCACCAACGTCGCTGTCGGTTCCAAAGCAAAATGGTGCGTTAAGTACAAGAAATGACGACACAGTGAGCGACGCCAAGCCCATACCGCTCAACAATAACGCGACGGACAAGCAACCGGTAAGTAATAAATAATTTTAATTTGATAACTTGCTTTAAAGAAGCGGAGGCTTCATTGGTTGTCTACCGTTCTGTTGGTTTGAAAAAAGTGAAAATACTTGAAAGGATAACTAAAAGAATTCTAATTCGAATCACGGTGACCTCTTCCTTCATTTTATCTCTTAAATGAGAGTAAAACTTTTAACATAGCGTTATTTGTTAACGCTTTTGTTGATTGTAATGTTGGAAGGTGTTAAATGAATAGAAGACGTGTTGCTCAGTTCAAGACTTTAATTATACTGCTCTACTTAATCTAAAACACTAATATATACTGCTGTGGAGCTACACTACATAATATTCATATATAATTTTCGATCTCTAAACCCACGAAGCTAAGCAAAGTACTCTGATTTATTATACACAAAGTCATCGGCCAAACAATTCGTCGTTGACGCCCCAAAGGGACGAACCTCAATTATGAATGAATAACGATCACAGTTGCCAAGCTCGGAGATAACTGCAAATCTTGTTCACGGAAGGAGCTGACGACCAGTAAGGGACCGTTTATTTATGTGTGACAGTTTTAGAGTGATACTCAAATTGTTCTCGTTTTGTTATATTTATGTAACGCTTACCACCTGCCTGCCAAGCGTGGCAACTATGGCATATATATCCTCAGCCATGAGAAAGACCTAGGTTAACTTTTCATAGGCTGTAACGGATGTTAGATATATTATAACTGCATGACCATAGGGCTCTATAAGACCTTGGTCAGCCCCGATGGCTATGGCAAGTCTCCCCCTGTGAGCCATTATGTGGGGAGGCCTATGTTAAGCAGTAGACTTTTGACAAGCTGTAACGATAAGTCAGCTTCGCTGCTCTATTTGCGTGATAGCGACACACATATATACGGAATATATTTATTCTCAATATGCTGGTTTCCTCACATTTCTTTTACCACCTAACACGTTTTAAATTGAAAATCTCAAAAAACACATTAATATTAATAATCTATTTTAATTACAATCCAGGAATTTCCTTTCCAAATATTCAAAAACCAAAGCAACATCGATTTTTTTTCTTACAAATTGTGTTGTTCAAAAGCATGTGAGTTGTAGTAATTAATATGTACATAATTATTTTTCTATCTTTTAGTCACGACAATCACCAATTGTGCAAACGCCCATAGAACAAAGAAACACGAAGGAAAGGGAAAGAGATAGGGGTGACAGAGAAGACAGAAAAGAGAGACAGGAACATCAGGCGTCTAACCGCGATGGCTTAGTCAATAACAAGGCCGTAAGTTAAGATTATTCTTTATATCAATATAATTTTTTGAGATTTGTTTTGTCAAAATTATTGACTGTTTTACTATTTGAGGTCATGACAACAATTATTATTATTTACAGGGTTCGTGACTAGACCCTGTAAATAATCTAATCAAAGTCAATTTTTTTAATGACAATATTTTATTATATAAAATATTAAAAAATTATCATAATAATAATAAAAAACTAAAACTAGAAATTTAGTTATCATATAGTCCTACTCATAGTCATCTCTCAGAGACTCATATTTGCGCCACTTACTCAGTTCAGCTGCCTCTGATGCCGCCACGGCTCTAAACGAGGTACCACTGAGATGAGAGGCCGCTCGAATGTCTACGCAAGTAGCATCCCACACTAGGGCTTTACATCTCTCCCAAGGGACCAATGTCATACCGTCGGGTCTCCTGCCATCGTCTCTAAATATTCCAGATGGCTTTAAAACCGAGGGAACATTTATAGAGACAAGAGCCCTTCGGACGACATCGTTCAAAGAACCGTGTCGTGAAAACCTACCAGCGCTTTTCTTACATGAAAGTCCGTGGAGCCCATGAATAAGTAAAATATAAGCATAGCAGCATTCATTTTTAAAGGATCAAGTTTTTTTTTTCAATAGTGCATTATATTAAGTTATTATTAATTCTAGGTTTCCCCTCTGGACCATAGAGGAGCGAACAATGAAGAGAACAAAGTAAAGCGGCATGCGTATCTCCAACAACTTATCTATCCATTACTGAATGAGGTATTTAATCTTGTTTTACTCATTTACTAATATATTTACATTATTTCGGCAAGTTATTTATTAATTTTTATATATTTACATAAAGATCGCCATCTCCATCAATGCAAACCAGAGATGGAGAATTGTAAACTCCCCGTAAAAACTTGGATTGCCCCTGCCACTCATCAAACAATACGCCATACCCTACACTGCGGGATTATAAACCACTTTAACGTGGTAAAACGACGATGCAACTATTTTATGGTTGCAGCAGGTATGGATTCGGTTCGGGAAAGTGCCACACTGGCACAGAATATCAACAAGTACCCTAATTTAACTACCTATAAAAATTTAATTACGTAATGTTACTACCTTGCTTTCCTACATCCGTCTTCACTGGTAACGAAGCATTATCTCTTAGTTCTCAGGGTTAGCAACGCATCTACATTTGATACTCAATCGAGAATCCAATTATTATCAAGGGGAATAGGATTATTATATTTGAATGAAAGACTAGGTTTGTATGTTTTTATTTTAAAGAAATATTGCGTATGATATAAGTTATTAATATATAAATATCTCTATTATTACTTAAAAACTTCCTCGAGCAATTTTTTTTCTTTTTAATTAAACTACACTGAATTACTAAAAAAAAATAATCAGACTTATATGAAGGTGTACTAAATCTAATGACACCAAAATCGTCTCATTTCGTAAAGGTTTAGAGGGGTGAAAATTTTATCGCCGGAAACAATATTTCAAAAAGGAAATGTAGGCACTGCTTTCAAGAATTGCAATTCTCTCCATCGCACGATACGGCGATAAGGAGCAAGCGGTATGAAACAGATAGCATTTTAGAAAATCGCGCCGCGTATCGGCACTTCACAGTCCTCTTACTACGTACTCTACTCTATGTACGTATCTTTGATACGACATTGTGTCCGCTTAACTTTTATAGACTCACTAATAATATATTAAATGAAAAAAGATGCAAAGACGGCAGTTGTAGAAATAGTTAGTATTAAGTAGAACAAAGGAGTTTCGCTCTTGTGAAATCTGAACCGAGTACATACTTATATGTTTTATATATTTTGTCAAAGAAAGGTATTGGAGAAAATTATAATGGTAGATTGGCTGAATAAATTATAATGATAGTTCACAGGTCAGCTCAATAATAACGACTTTTTTTATATAGGATAGGGTGACAAACGAGCACACATTCCACCTGATGGTAAGTGGTTGCTGTGACCCATAGACATCCACATCTAGCCTTAATAAAGAATCGAAATGCAGGTGCGTTGTCACCCGTGAGGACTAAAATGGAATGCCTCTTTACCAGTAAAAAGGGTCTCCTGTTCTCTACACTCACCATACGAAACACAGCAGTGTTAAGCTGCTATTTTACGCTGGTATTCTGTGAGAGCGTGGTTCTTCCCCGGTCGAGCCAACCCATTCGTGCTACAACTACTATTAATATAGCTGCAGCATACCACGTAAAAAACGAGTATGTAAACACCGATACGAATACAAACGAGCATTCCTTTGACTCGTGCAAAAACGCAAATCGAGTGGAGAACAGCAGAATACTCGGGCCGAGTAGCAAGCACACCCGCACAAGTCGTTTACATGTTCGTATTCGTACCTGTGCTCGGCGAGAATCTAAACGTTGCATTAGATAGTGAATACATCATTTACTTCTCTAAAGTGACACACTAGCAAGTGACCCCTTTAAATGGCAATATAAGGTGCATGAAGTAATTGCGTTTTAACTATTTTATGAGCTAAGTTTGTGTTCATTGAACTAACAATCTTTGATAGGTGAAGTTAGAAGTAAAGTTTTTTTTTTTATAAAACTAAAGTAGCAAACGAGCTTACAGCCCACTTGAGGCCAATTGTCTACTGCAACTCATGGACACCTGCAGTCAACTTTAAACTATGAAGGCTACAGATAATTTGTCACATCTGTGGACCTAACTGTAATGTCTCATAGTTTGTAATTATACTTGCTATTTGTACTCCTCATACCGGAACACAGCAGTGCAAACTATTAAAAAATGTATAAAGCTAGCAATCCGCCCTGGATTCGCACGGGTAATTTCTAGATCTCGACAATAGCGTAACCTATCGGATCCAATTGCGAGTTTAAACCATCTAAGGACCCACTCAAACACGTATCAAAATCGGTCCAGTCATTAAGGAGGAGTTCAGTGACAAACACAAGAACAGAACAATTATATATAATATACAACATGTAACAACAATCCTGTAAATGTATTTGGTTTAATTATCTCTGTATTGACCGGGCAGTAAGAGTATTGTCAAAGACTCCACTTTATTGATACACGTGTGATTTGGAGGTAATAAAACCACATACAGTTTGCAATAATTTCATTTTTTAATGGAATTTTTAATGAAGTTATTTTTTTACGTTTGAATACCGATTCTGGGTACATACACTTAAAGGTAGCCACATGATTTTTGTTACATGTTTTATAAAAATAAGTCGATGTTTGGGGAATCTATTTAGAGGGGGTAGGTCCTTTTTTAATACTATATAAAATAATATAAAACTCTAAATAACTTAAACAACACACATTAATCATGAGCTGTGATAATCCTGATAATTATTATATTTTATCCTGGTGATTCTGATCAGAATACTAGGATAAAGTTATTTTTTTTAATTTATTAAGGATTAAATTATTACATTGTCATCGGTTCTTGATATAAGTTAAATTCGGTGACAATTACATTAAAGATTCCGTTACACTGATAGATAGATACACGCGACGCTAATAAAAGTGTGTTAAAAAGGATCTGTGATGTTTCTACATCCGAATTCATTATGGGTTCCTGGTAGAAATTTTATTGAATACAATATTCGTGAGTTAATTTAACGTCATTTGGAATTATATTTAATAACTAACTAGCTGCTGGCTTACTGTGTGGTGGCGGTGTTAGAATATCCACTACCCCATACCATCCCGTGGGTGTCGTAAGAGGCTGCAGAGGGATACAAACTAAGAGATGGGCAGCATTGACTTCCTAATAAAGACTAAAAATTTTAAAAAAAACTGCGGTTGTGAATCCGCTTGTTGAGCGTGGCAAGTATGCCCCTATGAGGAAAATCTATGGAGTAGGCTTATGTTTACCAGTGGACTTTAAAGACTGTAACGGGACAGTAAAACGTATGTGTGGCGCAGGTGGTGCGCAAGCGGGGCGCGGGCAACGCGGCGTGCGCGGCCGCCGTGGAGGAGCTGCGCCGCGCCTTCGAGCTGGCCGAGCGCGCCGCGCCGCACCTCACGCGCGCCTTCGTGCAGCAGGCACGTGCACACGCACCCACCCCGCCCCCCGCCCTCACACTACTACCTACACTACTCTGCGCCCTTTGTACTTTACGCACAGATTAACGGTCGATACACCGTAAATCCTTTAGACAACTACGGCTCTGCTCCTTTAATACTTTGCGTACTAAGTTCAATTCTCCGTAACACCTCTAGTCGACTGCAAGCGCTACTATAGTCCTTGCGTTATAGCTTGGTACGGATGACAGCTTAAAGTTTCGCATGTCTAGAGATGAGACAATGTTAAATCGATTTGAAAAAGGCTTTAATCGCCTATACACAAAGCAAAGCAAAAATTATCAATTGATCGAAATATATATTTCTTTTTAAATACATTACAATACATGTAAAATTTAGTTACAGTTTAATACAAATTATGACATTATAGTTACATATTATTCTTTGTATTCATTTGAAAATAAAAGTGATCTTTTATTTTATGTTAATTACTATATTTTTATTAACATTAAAAGAAATAAAATGACTGCCTGCAGATTTTCAAAACACGAGTCCTAGCGCCTTTCGCTATAAATGTATATATAAGTGTTGTTAGCATCACTTCTACACATTTATTGCGATTCGACACCTGGCAACACTAATTTTATAATCTATGCTAGAACGTAGCGATTTGTATCAATACCTATCGACCGTTTTATAACATCCAGTTGATTTATTGTTGTGTTTTTTTGTTGAGTTTGTTTATTTATAATGCCAAACCGAACAAAAATATTGAAGGCGAGTCAAGCGGAGGGTGAAGTCATTCGCCTTCGAGGATACTTTTAGCGAGATCCAGAAAATGGCGGAATAAATTTAAAATTATTGAATTCCTTGTCCTTAATTTTACCACTTTCTCTATTTATTTGTTTATTGTAATACATGAATCTTAAGTTACTTAAATTTAGTATACATAAATATGACGGTATTGGTACCACACATATAAAATAGAATTATCTTACTTATTTTTAACGAATATATTCGCTTGACAGTTTTTATATCCGATTATGAGGTACATCTCCAGTAATTAAAAAAAAATTAACGCTAGTATGCATAATATGTAACTGCGCATGCAAGTGAAATTAATGAAAATTTTATAGTTTTGTTAGTAACAAAACTAGGTGAGATTTTTTTAAGTTAATGTTAATTTAATAGTCACAACAGAATAGAAAAAAATAATATAATAAAATAAATAAATTTTGTGCTATTTTCTCATAGTTAAAAATGTTGTCGTAATCTTGCAAACGCACGCAAATTAGACCTGTCAACCTGTCACCCGCACCATGCTATAACGCAGACTATAGACGATCTCTGCGCCCTTAGTACTTTGCGCACTAAATTCAGTTCTCCGTAACTCTTACACTAAACTAGTTATTTGTTTTTTTAAACGAACGTTATTTTCGACAACCTAACTAACACTGATTTTGTTAAAATGTGTCTAAGACAACGCTGTTATTATTTATGTGCACACTTTATCAACGAGATTTTAAGTTTTTTTTTAGATAAGTATTTAACTTTATTTCGTATTTACCTAAAAACAGTAATTGTCGTAAATAAAATTACCGCCAAGCCAGAGGCTGCGCGATACCCAAGTGTTATCGCGCAAGACACAATTTTTGTTCTGAATCGCCGATCTAGTAGTATACATAGAGGTCTGACTATAGTATATATACCTCACACGCGCCTTGGTGCAGTGCATTTTGCTACATACCACTAGTACATTAAAACACAAACAGTTTTGGTGTGTCCATTATTTGCTATGGCCGTTATTGTTTCCTTATATTTGCGTTGTATACAGGTCGTACAGAGGGTGGCGAAACAATCCCACCAACCTTCTACGCCTTCACACAACACTTCTCAGCAGTGGATGACGTAGGTATGTACAGATATAATGCTCATTATGTATATTTATATGTATGTGTATTAATATGTAGGCAACATATGAAAACTAATCGCTCAGTTTTCTGTTGAGCGGAGATATTAATTTCATTATACTCTATGTCTTATATTATCTTATATCTCTCTCTTGTTTGTTGTAATTATATTTTGAAATATCATATTGCACGAATATCCTATAAAGTTCATGTTGCGAAAAAATGTTATGCTTAGCTTATTGTGATGTACTGAAAGTGTATTTAAATTATATCACCTTAAATTATTGCATTGTAAATATTGCTATTAAACAATGTGTAGATATTTTCGGCCTTACTTTAACGTTATACCTTATTTTCGTTGATTTTCCCTTAGTTAAATTAAGTATTCATTAGCTCTTTATTTGTCTCTTTCTATTGTCATTTAGTGAAAAGTTAGAGAGCAATTTTAAGCATTTCTCATATTGACATCGATTTTCACGGGTGTAAGGCTTTTTTATCTAAAAAGTTAAATAATTATTACGGCACATCTTCTCGTCAAGTATATATCAACACTTGTAAACAAGAGTGTACAACTACAGTGTGCGTCAAGTCGACATGGCGATTTTCTAGTGATGTGGCATCACGTACCAGGTAGTTTTTATCGATATTTTTTTTTGCAACGTAACAATAAGAGTAAAATTAATTAAATAAGGTTTATTACAAGTGAAATGAAAAAATATTTTATTAGTCACAATCAATATCAAATGAAATCTTATATATAGTAATGCAAAATAAAATCTTCCATTACATTTTTCATTCCTTTTCGCAGTATTCATTCTCCGGTTTCGGAACATGTTTTTCGGAATTTGCCCAATTTTCTGCCGTAACTGTCGAAATTGCATTCGTTGTTACCTCTTTCAGTTTTGTCAAACACAAATCGCTCTTTTTGTTGTATTCTCTTACGAAGCGTTTAATGGCGGCCCAGGCTAATTCAATAGGATTTAAATCGCACATATATGGATGTAATCTTATAATGTCATGGCCGTGTCCTTTAATTATATTGTAAAGTTTATAATTGATATCAACGGGTTTGTATTGATCTATAATTTCAAATAAATCTGGTTTCCTCATTGACCTGTCGCAAGAAATGTTTATTGTCTTCCAACCATTTTATCATTGCAGATTTTAGCGGACTTTTTGTAGGGGATTTATTTAGCTGGACACTAACGTGCGTTGTTGTACCACGATACTGAGGTCAGGAAGTGAAGGCAAAAGCTTTTCTACTACCCTTTTCTCAAAATATATTTAACACGTGACGAGGAAGCGACCGAATTCATTTTAATACACAACAGCCAAGAAGAATTTGAGCGAGATCAAAATTCGATAAACGCAGTCGATGCGGACTCGTGCAGCGCTAAGACTAAGTGCGGGCGTGCGGGGTGTCCCCTCCCTCGCTCCCAAGCTCAGAGCCCGATTGTCATGTCGACCATTCGCGCACTTTAGTTACTTACCTAAGGATCAGCGACATGGACCATCAATGCTGGCCGTATGAATAAGCTTAAGGTTGCTCAGCTTTTTTTTCCGCGTGATATATTTCTTAATTAGGATATCCGTAGTAGAACGATAACCATCGACATAACCCACGGATCCTGATTTGTTTCGCTCTGTCGCCTCTTATGACACCCACAAGATGATATAGGGTAGTGGATATTCTGACACCGCCACTACATGGTAACCGAGCTAGTTATTTAATATAATTGTAGATGACGTTAAATTAAGTCATGTTATATTGTATTTAATAAAATTTTCACCAGGGACCCATAACGGATCCGGATGTAGAAACATCGCAGATGAAATGGGGCTCCACCGTGCTCGCTTCTTCTACGCGGCTACGGCGGAACAACACGCTTAGACTGACATCAGACAAATTTACCCGATAGAAATATCACAAATAAATAAATATAGAACAAAAAAGCATGGATACATAAAAATGTTAAAACCAAAAATAATAACGATAAAAACATCTCTTTTCATGTAGAGATAAACGAACGCCAAATGACTGCATTCATCTTTCTACTTGTACTATTTACCTTCATGTAACATAAATGATTCATTATTTTATTGTCTGCGGTTGAAGTATTCTCATTGCTCCGAATTCCTACGAATTATTCGTTAATAATTCATGTCTTAACTTCGTTCCTAATATCTAAGATTTCATAATATTATGACCATTTTTGAAATTATTCTAAAACAAGTAACTTAGTGCTTTAACAACTAGTTAATGGGCTTTAAGGCTAGCTACTGCTAGTGGCAGGTTTTTTCATAGGATGTTGTTTATAAAATTAGTATATAGTGTGCTCCTACTAATCTAGTGACTAATAAAAATGGTCTTTAAGATTAGCTACTCAAATCGCAGGCTATTTTCATAGAACGTCAGTTTTAAATTAAGTATAAAGTGTTATAAAATTAAATTGGTAATGAAGTATACACTGATGTAATCGAATATAATCTTGGAAACTAATCTACTTACGAGAAAGTATTTTTACTTGAAATACTGACTTTTTAACATCTTTCAGTTACATCACAACCATGATTTCAGAGTCGTGTCTCGTCCGTCATATGCGAGTTTATGACGGGATTAGTTAGCATGACAGATTTTATTACGCCGCTATTACACTGTAAATGTGTTGCTTTACTATATTACTTACTTTTCTTCTTTGACTATTGATGTACATAAATATTATCTTTCTAAATTATAGGCAGGGACAAAACCTAATAATATCACTTGTCCGTGTGATCACATGTAACTTTACCATTTTGCGTTCGTTTTTTTTTAATAACTTGTTTTTATCGTATATTTTTGTGTTTGTATTACTCGAGAAATTATTTCAATGATTTGTATTAGGTTTATAGACAAAAAAAAATATGATCAATCAGTCTGAGCGACACCGCCATGTAGCTACGTTCGAGTCACAAAGTTGCAATGCCATAGTGTAATAAAATATCACGTAATAATTACTTAAGATGGTTATGCCTTACAATATTTTATAATATTTTGTGCATTATTTATGTAAATATTCACTATTTGATTCCATAAATAGACAACAACGTTGAAATATTTCATTCTTGGAACATGCAGTATTTTGGCGCGAGAACTTTAAAAATAGGAACGTGCGTAGGTGACAGCACATTTTTATCGATATACGTCGGATATGTCGAAAATCATATTAATATAAAATGATTTGTCGAATTATCATCTTTGTGGAATGATTGATATAATATAATATCAGCGGTTTAATTTATCAGATACAGTTAGTGAGTTAATTTTTAAATCCGTGGTTACCTGACAGTCATTGTTATTTAGATATCGATTTGATTTTAATTATCATTTCTAATTGTATAAAAAATCCCCAGTAGCTCAGGAGATAAGCTCTCGTCTTAAAATTTGAATGGTACTCGAGCAAACCGAGTTCTTACCCCGCCGGCACCAATTTAATTGTAATTAAAGAGTTGATTAAATCATCTGCGAAATAAAAAATCACATACATCCCTCTATATAAAAAATAGTTCGAAGTAATGTGAAATCTGCCAACACGCATTGGGTCAGCGCTTCAATAATGAGAGAAGGCATTGCCCAGCTGTGGGCCGATTGGAAACACTTGCACTTACTTTTATAGAATGTTTTTGCGCACAAGTAACGCATGTTCCAAGAATTCTGGTAGCATTGACTTAGTCTAGGAGCTACATTCGCTTTCGCTAACGTATTTTTATGTCCTGTTTAGTTTTAATGCAGAGTTGTTCTGTTCGATTTTGTACTCCTCACAGTGTGTGTAAACCGAGCGGTCACGTGACCGCATATTTATGTATTCACCGTGAGTCACCTTTATTAGTATAATTTACCAGCGTCTGTTTGTTGTGTTGTGTGCTCAGTTGTTTGCAACGGTATAATTGGATATTTTTGTAACTTAAATATTTGTGGAGAGCTAATGTTGCTGTACTTCGCCAATGTTTTGCCATAATTTTTCTAAAATTATTTTTTCTTTTACTAACACACGGTTTTAATTCTTTTATTTTTAGTTTAACGTCTGATTGATTTGTTGGCGGTTTTCTAAATTCTAATATATTTATAATTATTTTAGAAATTGGTGAATGAAATTTTGTAGCGTTTTTCTTTAGTGTCATTCCAGACAAAAGACAATATTGTCGGCATTTATAGAATATTTGTTTTGTTGAATTTGAACTTCTACTTGTTTCCGATATAAGCGAAACAGCCGTTCAGTGTCCAATGGTATAATGTTGTTATAAATTTTAATAGTTTAGTTTTTTGAAAGTTAGCTGTTAGTATTTTGGTTATTTGGTCGGTTTGAAATGTACATGTGACTAATATATTCTAAAACAATAATATAGATGCAGTGTTGCAAACATTACACCCTAATCATAATAACAAACGTTTCATAAAATGAGAAGGTGAAAATAGATTATTATCTCTAGTAATTTGTGAATTAAAAAGTATTCTGGCACCAACGACCATTCGGTGTCCTTATAAATAGAAAAAAAAAACACATGCTTAATATGCGACAATATTTAGCAATTGGGGTTATATAGAGTATATAAATATGAAGACTATAAAACAATTATTATTGCTGTGTAAAAATGTAAACCTATAATATAAATGTGTAAATTGTGTAGTATAATATAAAGAAAGCAGTTTTATGAAGTGTTCATAAGCGTCTGGAGGTTAGTCTTTCGATAATCTATCTCCACGCGGTTCGGAGTGGAACCCATATTGTTTATTACGTCTAGTTTTTAGTTCTCAGAATTTCTAAGGTAGGCAAGTTCACTAAATGCCTCTGATGCGTAGTTAATAAGTTGCGGTCATGGGTGGAGCTAGGGGAGGAAAGCAAAGGGGCAATAGTACTGTGAAAAGCAATCATAGATATTCTTTAATTGTACTTTATTTTCAACCTTGACCCTAGCTGCATCCAAGACCATTATGGGTTTCGCTCCCGAAATGTATCGCGTTTGCCTTGTAATTTTCTTTTGTTTTGCCATGTGAACCACGCATGGAAGATGTTACGTTGATTTCGATGGAGAATCAAGAAGTTATTTTTCCACTTGATGGGTATTATATGGTAATAAGAGCGTGTAGTGTTAGAGATGGCGATAATTGTTGATTATTGATTAAATTTAGATGTTTGTGGCATTGGAAAGTAGTGGAGACACGTTTTGCGGGAGTCTGGGAACGTTGACAGTAGGGTAGCGCCTAGCACGTGCACGTTAAGTTGTGTTCTCATGAGCCGATTTAAATTGGTCAACTTGAATACGGTTACGAATGGATACTTGTGTACTTTTTTTTAAGGTTGATCAAGTCGACTAAGTTTTACGATAACGAATGGTTCTCAACATCGCCGCTGTTGAAAACTCTTATTTCTTTTTATAGTCGTATAAAGTCCTTCATTAATATAACATGTAAGCACGGCTAATAAAGGCCATTTTGGAGCGAATTACAATAATTGTTCTTGATCACATAGCAGACTGACAGACTCGCCTCATGAGAACGCGGCGGTACTAAGTTTGCTGTTAAGTTCCTCGCACTCAATAGCGGTACGTAGTTGTTACCTTCGAATTTTGCAGAATGTCCAAGATGGCGTCGTTCGGTTCATGGGTATTTGTGATCGTATTATATAGTTAATAAATTTAAATCTATATTATTGTAATTACATAAAGAAAGAAGTTGGTAATCGCAACCGTTTGTATTTTGTAGTATAGGTACGTGGTATTTCACGCTTCACTTCAGAGATTCGTACGTTTCAGTGCGATAATTATTTCGTAATCCAACCCGATTGTTGTTATAAATAAGCTGCCGGAGCAAAGGAAATAAAACGATGCGGCCTACCACATGACGCCGCACATGTGCGAACTCAGTCGCGGCGCGCGAAGTAACACGTACAAAGCTGCAAATAATAAAATTCACCGGCCCTCCACTCGTGCACCGACGTGAAATAACAGCTCGGCGCGTAACATTAGTGAAATGGTCAATTAATGCTACGGCGTCCGTCATTCTAACACGTTTATGTAGAAAACAAATTCGACTCTGAAATAAAAGAAGTTATTTAATTTTGGATTTCCTTGTTTTATTTCGAATCCTTGTGTTTTGAATGTCATTTATCTCCTTTTTTTACTATTTGATTCCATGGGAAGTGTAAGTCAAATTAAGTTTTGGTAACTTTTGGCAGATAGCGTAATAACTGTAATTAAAAAATAAATAGCGTAATAAGTCTGTAATAACATGGATGGAAGGCACCATCGACTAACATAGTATGCGATCGTCAATCCGTTTGCACAGTGCAGCACGATTAATACAGCAAATGATAAAAACTAATATTTTTTATATTATGTTTTAGGAAAGATGAATTTGCTATAAAACCATTTTTATGGTGTTCTTATAAATAAATCATCGATTAATTTATTTTAATTAATTAATTGATTAAATATTACTACCAGACTATCCACTATATGCTATCAACGAGTCCTAAGTTATTTTGGTCATATTGCCCGGAGACAACCATACAATCTGGATAAATTGGTTGTAGTAGGGAAGATCGAAGGAAAAAGATCACGTGGGCGATTGCCTACCCGCTGGTCCCACCAGATTCAAAATATAACTGGACTTAATATTCCGAATGCCTTGAGACAAGCCGAGGACAGAGTGGTATGGAGAAAGTTAGTTGACACATCTGTAAGCGGCGACACATCGTGCTTGTCCTGAAAGCATTTCAGGACAAGCACGATCTTCAGTAATGAAGCACACGAAGAAGAATAAATAAATCAATGAAAAATTGTGTTAAAAGATCTGGGCTTCCAGTAGATTTGATAAATGTTATTTTCTCATAATATAAAGCTAGTAATAAAATACCCCAACGTCAGTGTTGGGAGACAAGAAGAGAGAAAAAGGGATTACTGCGATCTTTTTGCCTTCCGTGTGGCGATTGTCTCCATGAAATCCTACCGGAAAGAAATTCATATAAATTGGTTGTTCAATAAACAGAAGCCGAGTAACTAATATGTTTAAAAAGGTAAAATAAATCATAAAAGTTTTTATTCATCGTCTTTATAATAGATGCGATGGTGGGAATAAAAAATTAAATCCTTACATAACCTTTTTGTCGGGTGATTTTGCCGTGACACTAGTATGCAATAGAAATGCCATGATTGCCCAGGGGCTTAAAGCGCTTTCTGTAAATTTTAAAACGCCACTTACCATATGCTTGGCAGTGTAGGAAAACATCTGAGGAAACCTGCATGTCTGAGAAATTAAAAAAAATATTTAGAAGACTTGAAGTCTGCCAACACGCATTGGAGCAACGCGAAGGACATCTTCCTTACCCTAAAACTTTCTCAGTGAGAGGAGCCTTATGCCCAGGAGTGGGACATAAATAGGCTGTATCTTTATTTTCCTTTGCCTATAAGCGATAAGACTACAATGGACATGTAGCAAAGGACATATTTACGTAGGCGGGATGATAAGTAACTAGCCACTGCTATTTAAAAAGTTAAAATTAAAATAATATTTATGTCATTTTTAAATTCGTATCTCTGGCCACCTGTGTTCTAAATTTGAATTTGGTGACGCGAAAATTTTATTGATTTTTTGTCATTTGAAAATATATTTCGTCAACTGTTTTCAAAATGGATAAAACAAAGAGCGGTGATAAAGTTTCTTCATACGAAGGGCATGAAGTCGAATGATATCTATGATGATATAATTCGCTCGTACATGTGTCCAAGATGAAGCCCGACCCGGACTTTCAAAAAGCGTCACGACTCCGGAAATGGTCGGTACATGAGTACATGATACGGTTTTAGCAGATCGACGATTGAAGTTATCTGAAATAGCTGACACTACAGGTATCTCAAAAGAACGGGTACATCATATCCTAAGTGAGGAATTAAATATTTATTTATTTATATACAATATTAAAAACTATAAAGATAAAAAAAACTAGAAACTTAATTATCATATAGTCCTACGCCCCGCGGTATCGTGCCAAGAACGCTGGCCGCGTTTCCCCGCTGAATGGCTATACTTAGCCATTGAGCGAGAAAAGAACCAGCCCTCTTATCACCAGCAGCAACGACCAGCCGCGGATAGAATTCCTTTAGGAATTTCACCGCACGTGGACCCCACGGACCGATAGTCTATACAGCAAATGGCACAAATATGTAGTCATCTCTCAAGGATTCATATTTGCGCCACTTACCCAGTTCAGCTGCCTCTGATGCCGCCCCGGCTCTAAACGAGGTACCCCTGAGATGAGAGGCCGCAAGAGTGTCTACGCAAGTAGCATCCCATACTAGGGCTTTACCTCTCTCCCAAGGGACCAATGTCATACCGTCGGGTCTCCTGCCATCGTCTCTCAATATTCCACAAGGCTCTAAAACCGAGGGAACATTTATAGAGACAAGAGCCCTTCGGATGACATCGTTTAAAGAACTGTGTCGTGAAAACCTACCAGCGCTTTTCTTACATGAAAGTCCGTGGAACTCAAACTTGTCGACGCTGCTACCACAGGGGCACTAATGAGGTTGACAAAGCGTCGCTCCTAGTCGGATTCCTACGGCAATACGCAAGCTTTCCCCATCAAGTAATGTGCCGAGATTACTTGATGGCAAAGCGTGTAACCAGTGACTAGATTCCTTAGTCGAAGCAGCTAGAAGGCGTGCCTTATCTTGGTCACTATGGAAATTATGAAACAAATATTTCTGCACGCCCCGTACCAACGGAATATCCCACTGTTTTTGTTGGTTAACTTCCAGTGGAACATTTTCACCGGGACAGAGCGTTTGCCATGTCTGCCCTGCCTCCGTAGCAAAGCATAGGTCTACTTTATTATTTAAAATTATGTTACATAAGTCACTGACACTATGAACGAAAGCAAGGAAAGCAGGCAATGCAACGCTAGAAAGATGAAAAAGTTATCGGCCCGTTGGGTGCCGCAATTGCTTACGCACGATCAAAAAAGGATTCGTGTGCAAAACTCAAAAGAAAGTCTGGACCGTTTTCAGAGTAATAAGGCCGATTTTTTACGTCGATTTGTAACAACAGATGAAATATGGGTTCATCATTACACGCCAGAATCAAAAATTTAATCAAAACAGTGGACTCAATCGGGATGCCCGGCTCCAAAAAAGCCCTGGCTGTAAATTCGGCTGGAAAAGTGATGGCATCCGTCTTTTGGGATTCAGATGGGATCTTGATGATAGATTACCTTGCTAAAGGTCAAACAATTAATAGAGAATACTACGCTAATCTTCTAGACAAGCTTCGTCAATGTATTCAGCAAAAACGACCCGGTTTGGCGAAAAAAACAATATCTTGCACCAAAACAACGCTAGGGTTCACACATGTGTTAAAGCTATGGCAAAAATCAACGAATTGAAGTATGATTTGCTGCCCCACCCACCTTATTCGCCTGATCTAGCGCCATCAGACTTCCATATATCCCTAAGCTCAAAACTTTTTGGGCGCACAGAAATTTGCCACAAATGATGAAGTCATAGCCGCCGTAGAGGAGTATTTCGCAGGCCTCGAAAGAAATCATTTTATGGAAGGCATTACTGCTTTAGAACGAAGATGGAATATGTGCGTAGAGGTTCACAGAGACTGTGTCGAAAAATAAAATTAATTTTATCACGGAAAGTTAAGTGTTTTCTTATTAGGCTAGTTACTTATCATCCCGCCCTCGTACATATTATAATGTAATATGCCGGCTGATATTATATTATATTGTTTTCTAAAAATTATTAGATAATAACGGCATTTTATTTCTAAATCTCACATGAAAGAACGAATAGGCGACATAAATAATTGATGTTCTACGAATTCGGTAATAACTTCGTAATATCGATTACAGAAATATCGACTCCTGTCAATAATTATCTAATGGTGAGGTTAATGAAAATATGTAAAATGGCATCTATACTTGGAAATACAAATGGGCGACTGAAATATTCCTACCATTATAATTATAGCAGTGTTAATAAAACGAGTGTAGTTCTTTTTCATTTTTATTGACTAGGTTATAATTACACATGGTTCGTTACAAATTTACAAAAATATAAAATCACATACAAGATGATTATGAGATTCGTTGTTAGCGATAAATGTTACGCAAAAATACTTAGAAATAATTTAATAAATAATGTGATGGTAGTGATAGATAAAATAATCTTGAATGAAGGTAAGGAAATTTCAACTAACTTGTCTAAATATCGCTAAATAAACAGTATAAAATTATAATATAACTTGCAAGCAATAAGGAGCGCAGATTAACCGTGGTTGTCGTACCGACGCCTTTTATTCGCTAATGAATTAAAATGATTAATGAGTGTACCAAATATCTATATTTACACCCTATAAAGCTATCAAGTACAATGCAGTCATAGCCTACTTAACTTATTAAACAGTTCTGTACATAATATAGGTACTTAACTTAGGTAATTAAACTAATTCGAACTTAAATTTTAACAACTAATAATTACAGTAACGACATCGATAATGCATTGTCGAATACAAATGAACATACATATGAATAAAATACAATATTACGTTCTTAAATAAAAATTATACAATTTGTTTTTACAATAAAATAGTCCCTCAAAATTTAAAAAAAATATGACGATCTAGGATATCTTACAATATTGAGTGATATTTTGATTTTTTTTTTCGTAAGATTTTGCTTTGGTTTATAACGCCAATCAAGATCCAATTACCTTTACGGTATACGGTATTACCTTATCGGATAACGAAACGACGTATCAACAAGTTTATAGTAATGGATGTAGAAACTTTTATAAACTGTTTAAATTATTGAATAAATCTGCAAACGTACAATAAGTACATAATATGTTTTAATATTCTTCCAATTTTTTTCCTTTCATTCCTTATATGTACTTACATATATCGAAATAACACTGCTATAACAAAAATAATCAATGGAATGATACAAGTAGGGCTCTGTAAACTAATTACAGCTATAATTTATGAGTAGAAATATTATGGCTAGCATGAAGTAAATTCAAAAATTTATAGCACAATTCCAATTTATTATGCCTAAATTAAA